CTCTGGGCACCCTGTGCCAGCGCCTCAGCACCCTCACAGGGAAGAGCTTCTGCCTAAGAGCTCAGCTCAGTCTCCCCTCTGGCAGGTTCAAGCCATTCCCTTTTCTTTGGTTTGGGTGAATTTTTGGTAGAAATTTGCTTTCTCAGAAGTAGTGAAATGGTGGATGCTTCCTTAGGGAAAAAATGTAACAGGCTGTCCTGTTCCTTGTGTGCTCTTTGTAGGTATTTCTATTTCATTGATACTTTCCTGAAATACGGGATCACTTTACTGGGCATCAATCTGGGCTATTGCCTGTACCATGAGAAGTTTGCTTTGTTCCAACGCTTCTTGAAGCTGGGCTGTTTGCTGCCTTCTGGGGACCAGCTCTGGGACTTCCTGAGCTACACAATTCAAGCCCAAGAGGCATACAAGCAGTGGCTGCCTTATCTGCTCCTGGCTGGTTTTGACCCAGTGAATTTAATGCACAGACTCTGGTAAGCAGATAACGTTATCTTGTTGACTTAACTATTGTATGTTAATCCACAAAGCTGTTGCCAATGTGTGTTTCATAGGATAGCACTTGATAATCAGTTGCCGTGATCAGGAGTGGGGAGGGTTCTGGGAAGTCTGGAATAAATCATTCATGGGTAATGGCTGGATTCAATAACACACCTTTCTTGTAGGCCAAAAGCCAGAATGGAGGTTGCTTCACCAATACCATGGGGGAAAGCACGATTCCAGAGTTTTATATCAAACATCTCTTCTTAGCCCCCAGATTTAGTTGTGTAATATGGTGATGGGAAGAAGACCTTCGGAGGAGGTCAGGAGGGGTGGGAAACAAATGTACAGTGAAGCTGGGCTGAGGCTGAGAGGAAAAGGATGCAGTTAGAGATTGTGGTGAACAGTCACGTTGCACAAATGCCAGTCTGAGCGTTTGCCATTGGGGTGTTTTAAGTTTTTCCACATAAAAATAACTTCTTGGCAATGAATTTATGCTTAATCAGACACTACAGAATGAATGAAACTTACACTTAACATTACAAAGTATTAGTGTTTTCTGGTTTTCTTGTCCATGACAATAATGTTGAGACTTTACTACCATATATCTCAGCTATTAACATGACGTGAGGTGTATAAACTCATTACATGCATTACTTAACGGGGTGAAAGGAGTAGGAGTTTACTTTAAAGGAAATGTTTAATTAAAAGGAAATACTGATTTGGTTTTCAGCTACTGCTAAGGTATTGTAGTTTTGAATCCCTTCATTTATGACTTGGTGAGATTCTGTTAATTATTAGCACCTGTGGCTTTCTGACCAGTGATTAGAGGAGCAGATCTACAGCAGGGCATGTCTGTGCTTCTGTACATCAGATTTATTCATAGAAGTGAGTGTGAAAGTCCAGCCACTGCAAGATTGCAGTTCAGTGACTGAACAGGTATCACTGCCCACCTATATCATATATGATGTGTTTTGATATTTTGGTACTTAATCCACAAACACTTTTAGACCAATTGCTTCCTTTAATTATGCACTTTTTAAAATGACACTGCATCATAATCTATAAAACTGCTGGTCTTGTAAGTTTAATATTAACTATGCTGTCCTGGAGGATAGTAGGAGGACAGTAGAAAGCAAATGCCATTTATGGGTATGGTTCATTAACTGTCTCTGTCACATTGTGCAAAACAGCTACAGAATCCCAGCCTGGTTTGTGTTGCAAGGGACCTTAAAGCTCCTCCAGCTCCAACCCCTGCCACAGGCAGGGACCCCTTCCACTAGAGCAGCTTGCTCCAAGCCCCTGTGTCCAACCTGCCCTTGAACACTGCCAGGGATGGGGCAGCCACAGCTTCTCTGGGCACCCTGTGCCAGCGCCTCAGCATCCTCACAGGGAATAAACTGCTCAATATAAATATAAAAAATCATAATAATAGAATCAATGATTAACTGCTCAGTGTAGAGGACTGACAGCTTTGATACCAGTAGAGCAGTGAAATCACCATTCCCTGAAAGCAAGCCAGGCAGTCGCATCTCTCCTGCAGGGCTCCAGTGAATATATGAAAATCGAGTCAAATATGAAAAATGAAATCATACAAACTAGAAAGGACACAACATAATGTTGACATGAATCTGCTGTAAAAAACCCAAATGTATTACAAGGGGTTAGTCTGGTATGTGTGTTTAGAGCATTTAGATTTCCATTCAGATGAATTGGATTGTACACACCCAGCCGAGGAGCTGTGGCTCTTCATCACACCTCATGTAAACCAGTTGTTTCACCTCCTTTTCCTTAAACCTTCTTGTGTGCTTTATCAATTGAGCTGTTATTAAAAGTTCTTCACACATGCTGAAGGTTTGAAATGTAAACCATGCTGACTTCTGGATACATAGTAATGCAGTCTCTGGTAGAAGAGTTTGAAATACCTGCACATCTTGTGGGGTTTTGTTGTAATAAACAAGTATCTCAGTAAATGCACATTTCCCCCCCCCAGTGCAATGGTAATGCTTAGAATGCTCTGGTGTCTGGAGCTCTTATTAACATGTAGGTGGAAAGAGAGTAATAAATCAGTGCAGAGGAGAATGCTGCCTATTACTGAGGCATTTAAATCTCATAGTACATCTTTTCTCTTACAGTCTATCTTACTTTTGAAAATAAATGAAGATAAAACTACATTAGTAAATGCTTATGCTGTTACTTGGACTTCTCTTTAGTGGTTTTCTCTTTCTGGGCTTAGGATGGAGGTTGATAAGGATTTGTTAGAAAATGTAAAGCTTTCTATGTGTTGTTTCCATTATTATATTTATGCAATTGTGTAAAATGCTGTTTTATGGGGATTTTTGTTATGTAGGATTTTATCCGTGGGAGATAATGCCCTTAATTTCACTCTGGAGTTCACCAACTGGAAGAGACTTCCTCCAGCTGTGGAGCAAGACCTTTCAGAATACAAGGAGATGTTCACTTGGACTCCAAAGAGCCACTTTGGTAAGTGCAGTGAGGGGAAACCAGTCTGTATGTCCCAGCTTCCAGGCTGCAGGTGGGAATTGGCTCTGTGTGCTAATGCACCATGGCAAAGGAGGTTCCGTGGTCAACAGACATGGCTTGTCTGGAGACTGGGGAGCAGAAATAGCAGGTCCCCTAAACAAGCAAAACATACTGTCCTCAGTACGTGTTCAATTCATAGTTAGCATGTTTCAGGTAAGTATTGTCATGTTAAGGTATCGTGTCCACTTCAAGTGAATGCATGTGCTATAAATGTAAAAATATGGGTAGTGACTGAATCATGCTGTGCCTTCCTGACATGGGTTGTTCAGCCTCTTAGAAGATTTAAGGGAAATGATCAGTATTAGTTAGCTACATTTCCTGGACAATATCATGGAATCCCAGCCTGGTTTTGGTTGGAAGAGACCTTAACATTCATCCAGCTCCAAGCCCTGCCACGGGCAGGGACACCTTCCACTAGAGCAGCTTGCTCCAAGCCCCTGTGTCCAACCTGGCCTTGAATGCTGCCAGGGATGGGGCACCCTGTGCTAGTAAATAGATAAATCTGTCCAGTACAGAACTCCAATGCTTCCAAATCCTTGGAGCAAGCTGCTCTAGTGGAAGATGTCCCTGCCCATGACAAGGGGTTGGAACTGCATGAGCTTTAAGGTCCCTTCCAACCCAAAATAGTCTGTGATTGTATGATTCTATGATAATATGAATGTTTGTGTCTGAGCAATGCACATTTATAGACATGCTTTTGTATCTTTTTGGCACGGTGGTTGTCCTAATTCAAGTTATTTAGCAACATGTTAGAACGTTTGTCATCATACACAAACTGACTCATGCTGTCATTTAATAACTTACCCTGAAACTGTTTTCCCTGGTGTTATTTTGTTGCTGGATTTGCTCCTAGACTTAATTTTCCATTTCTTGCAAGGTGGCACAAGCCTCCCTTCCCAGGCAGAGAGCTGTTCTAGGCTGGTTAGATGAAACCTTGAGGATAAAATGATTCCTTGATGCTTTGTTTGTAGAAGTTTAAATTAATAGAGCAACTATAGCAACACGCTGAAAATGCTGATCTAGCATCAGCAGCCCTTCAGTAGCCAGAACTGTGCCCTGTTATCTGCCAGGGAGCGGGGGTTCGGATGAAATCCAGGTGACCACAGGCAAACAACATGATCCTGCTCAGTGTCTGCCCTGGTTCTGATTTTCCAGCCTCCATTCCTCCCCTGTCCCACCTCTGCCGTCTCGAGATCCGGGCCATCCTAAGGAGCGAGCGCCTGCGGTCGGACCGCTTTATCCGGGAATTGCCACTGCCAGCTTGCCTCCAGGACTACCTGCTCTACTTGGATGTGCTGCGAGTCAACGGCATCCCAGAAGCAGAGGATTACCTGGGGCAGAGAGAGGAGGGAGCTGCTCCTTCCGCTGAAGATGCAGAGAGGAGGGACACTTGTGCCACTGGGACTAGGTGATGGCGCTGCCAGGGACAGAACTCTGGCTGCAGAGTTTGTAATGGCAGTTAGCAGGCACTGGAGAAGAGCCACTGTAAATAAAGTAGTAATAACTCTTCCCACACTGTAGTTTTGTATCTAGAAGTTTGTTAGAAGTTCTAGGATTCACTTGTTTACCAAGTCTGTTGGAGCTTTCTAAGTCTGTGAACACTTTCTGGGTTTCGAAAGGAAGATTTTAACTCTTATGGAGTAAAATGGGCTTGTTCAATGAACACGGCTTATAGAGTGGTCAAAATCTGTTTGGTTTATGGAGTAATATTGGCCTGTTAGAATCACAGAATCCTAGAATAGTTAGGGTTGGAAAGGACCTTAAGATCATCCAGTTCCAACCCCCCTGCCATGGGCAGGGACACCTCACACTAAACCATGGCACCCAAGGCCTCATCCAACCTGGCCTTGAACACTGCCAGGGATGGAGCATTCACAACCTCCCTGGGCAACCCATTCCAGTGCCTCACCACCCTCACAGGAAAGAACTTCCTCCTTAGATCCAGTCTGTTGAGTGAACACAGCTTAGATTGGTTGAAATCTGTTTGGTCAGACACTGGTAGTAGATGCTTTATTCCAAGTACTGCATATGCCAAATGAAACTACCAGAGGTCAAGGAACATGGTATTACTGTTATGGATTTATGGTCTGAGGGGTGATCTGACTGCACCAGAGACAGGAAAATAATACAAGAAAAGACATTGTTTGCTGAAGGAACAGTGACTTTCTTTTTCCTTTCCTTGGTCGTCTCTACTTGGCAGAAGGTCGGAGCGGGAGGCTGGCTCGGAGCCTGCTGCCTGGCACAGCCCATGGGCAAGGCACGGAATGTCCCCACGAGCACACCAACGTGACACTACTGTACACAGATCCCTCCTTCCATGAAGTGAGAAGGTAACAGCTGTCCCACAGGGGGTGGCAGGGACACCGTGATGGACAACAGCTGCATCCCTTGCGCTGGGAAGGAGCCCTCGTCCTGCAGAGGTGAAGCTGGTGCTGCCAGGCTCACTGGTAGTAGATGCAGAAGGCGTGGAGGATGTACAGGAAGGTTGTGATGAAGGCAAATAACTGCATGAGAGGAAGAAGAGCATCAGCTTGGAGAGTCTAACCCCATCTCCTCTTGGTGCTCTCAACCCAGGGAAGCCTCCAGCTCAGAGCTCTCTCCAGCCTCAAAGAAGCAGCAAAGCCCCGTGTTTCCCACGTTTCTGTGGGCTGCTGGACCCTGAGAAGCCCACGCTGGCTGCATGACACAGCAGAAAGGAGGAGCTGAAGCTCTGACCAGCATGACGGGCTTGGGATGGCTCTGTTGTAGCTTCAGTACTTGCTCTTGCGTCTCCCCCAAGGGAGTCCTGCCTGCCCCAGGGTGTGCTCTGCCCCACTCACCGATGCAGCACTGTTGAGATGGTAGTAAAGGGGCGAGTTGAGGTCGGACTCAGAGCGGATGGTCGCGTTGGCTTGCAGGACAGCAGCGCTCATGTACAGAATGGCTGTGGCACCGTGGTACAGACTGTCCTGCAAAGCAAGGGAGCAGCGAGGATGAAAGCCTGGGACCATCCTTCTCCCATCTGCCCAGAGGACAGGCTCGATCCCAGCCCCTCCTTACCAGCACTTTCCAGTTCTCGCTGTTTCTGTGTAAGCCAAAGAGGTAGCTCAAGAGCAGCAGCAGGGAGATGATGGAGGAGGTGAGGGACACGTACATCACCCATCCCTGCAGCAGCGGGAAGGAGACGGAGGTCGCAGCAACGAGGATCCACACCCAGGTCCCACAGAACTGCCAGGGACAAGCACAGGCACCTCTGATGAGCACAGGATGGGGAAGGCCCCTTCTCCTCCCTGAGTCCCTCCTTGCCTCCCTCCTGTGCCAGCCCCAGCAGCTGCTGGAAGCACTTGAGGCAGCATGGACCAGCCTGGATGATCCCAGCAGGACAGCAGCACCACAGGCATGAGTTTCCATGAACGCTCTTGGGCAATACTTCAGGACATCCCTTACGAAAGGGAAAGGTTTGGTGCTGAGTTCAAGGAGACATCTCCCTCTGAGGGCTTTGGCAGAGAGGCCAAAACACGGGTTTCCATCTGGGGAAAGCCAGCAGCGGCGTCGACTCGGCCCTGCCCACTCATAAATCTCCTGGGTTGAAATCACAGCACGAGGAGGTCACCTCTGGCCTCCACACACAGCCCAGAGGGAGTCACTCGCGCTGGATCCACCTCAGGTATTTACAGTGCACACAGAGCACGGGGTTATCTGGAGGAGCTGGGGCTGTTCTGTGGCATTCCAGCTCCCCCGGATGAGACTCCCTGGGATGGGCAATGGGAGCAGAGCCCACCGGCAGCTCCTGACAAAGCCCAGTCCCGGCCATGGTGCCTGCAGAGCATGGTGATGTGTCAAAGTACAGCAGCAGTTATCAGCCAGACCCACTGCCTGCCCTCTGGACCCGTAAGCAATGGAAATAATTATGGAATGCTGCGTGTTTACAGGACACCCCCTTGCCTTCAAGGAAAATCTCTATACACAAGGGCCTGCAGGGACAGGCCAAGGGGAATGGCTTGAACCTGCCAGAGGGGAGACTGAGCTGAGCTCTTAGGCAGAAGCTCTTCCCTGGGAGGGTGCTGAGGCGCTGGCACAGGGTGCCCAGAGAAGCTGTGGCTGCCCCATCCCTGGCAGTGCTCAAGGGCAGGTTGGACACAGGGGCTTGGAGCAAGCTGCTCTAGTGGAAGGGGTCCCTGCCCGTGGCAGGGGCTGGAGCTGGAGAAGCTTTAAGGTCCCTTCAACCCAAACCCTTCTATGATTAATGCTGTCCTCGGGGATGTTTCAAGGTCCGCTCCCAGCTTTTCAGCCCCTCCATTCCCTGAAGGCATTCTCATGGTGCTGTCCCACAGCACATCCCGGCATACTCACAATCTCGGGCAGGATGAACGCGTAGGGGATGGTTCTGAGGACGGCGGTGCCGGAGGGCAGGGCCGGCTGCGTGGTGGCCGCAGGGGGTCCGGCTGAGGCCATGGCTCCTCCGCGGGCACCGGGGCTGTGCTCGCATGTGTCCGCGCCGCTCGCCAGCTGGGTTTTAACCGGCACACCCGCGGGACGTCAGCGCTCAGCCTGCCCGTGCTGGCACCGTGCCGCGGCCCCGGTCCCTCCGGCTGCATCCACACCCCGCTGCCCGCGCCGGGGCGGAGAGCGGCACCCAGCCCCGGCAGGTCAAGGTCTTCAATGAGCGGGGAAGGAAACATCAAATCCTAGTCCGGGCTGGGCTGGGCCGTTTCCTGCAGCCGGGTTCTGGCCCTGGCACGCTTTCAGGCCTGCAGTGTTTTTGCTTCCACTGGTGGTGCCTCCTCCCCTTTCTGTTCAGGTTTCGGCTCCGTGCTCACATCAGGCTTCCCCACAGCCACCGCCTTTGAAACCTGCAGCCAGGTTTAAGCCACACTTAAACAGGGAGGATTTAGGTTGGAGATAAGGCAGAAGCTCTTCCCTGGGAGGGTGCTGAGGCGCTGGCACAGGGTGCCCAGAGAAGCTGTGGCTGCCCCATCCCTGGCAGTGTTCAAGGGCAGGTTGGACACAGGGGCTTGGAGCAAGATGCTCTTGTGGAAGGTGTGAGCTTTAAGGTCTTTTCCAACATTGTATGTTCTATGGAATACTTTTTACAGACAAGTCTGCACATTGGTAAAAGATGGAAGCATTTGCCATGGACTCTGGAGGACAGCTCCTGGCACAGTTTTGATCCCTGCCTCCTGGCAGGTACCCTTTGGATTCAACAAGTACGTGCTGTTTCTTGCAGAGGACTCTGCTTCAGTCCCCAACTCCCCAGTATCTGGTGGGATGAAAGGCTGAAGGTGGCATCTCTGCCTCAGGGCTTGGAGAGGACGAAAGGACTCCAGTAACACTACAGCAGGAGGACAATATCCCAGTAAGATACCATATCTCTCTGCTAGGAGAGCCAAGTGGTGCCCTAGGAATCAGTTTCTGCACCAAGCTCTTGTGCAATACAGAGCAAAGATTGACTCTGTGACATTCCTGATGGTGCAATCTCCTCCTGGGCTGGGGAAGTGCATCGTGGCATTGCTGGAGGCTCCAGTTCACAAACACTGTCAGTGGGAGCTGGCTTCAGTGTGCTGTGGTCTGGGAAACACCTTAAAGCATTTCACACCCCAGACAAAACTAGTGCCTGGCTCAGAACTGACTCCATGGGAAAAGGAGCCTTTACCATCTTGAGCTGCCTTAGGAATACCCCGCAGGTCCTTATCCTGCCCTCCAAAGTCAGCATATGGCAGCCACACACTGGGGAAACATCATACCCTGAGCTCTCAACAGCTTTTATTTGTGTTAGGTGGGTCAGGCACATTCCTGTGAATAACCCAGCCTTTTCCTGAATGGGAAGGGAAAACACTAAAACAGTCTAAATACGGAGCAACCTCTTGGCTGCTCATTGGGCAAAGGATGGTGTTTTTTCCCCCTAACCTAGCTGACCTTGCTCAGCAGCATTCTTCAAGATCCCTGCTGTTTCCCTTGCCTGGTTGCAGCCTGCTGGGGTACCATGACAGAGAAGCTTTTGTTCACCCTGGTTAAACAACACTGGAAATGAATTGGAAGCTGCCTGAGAGGAGAAAAGTGCTGCCTCGGCAGTTCATAGAATCACAGAATCATGTTGGATTTGAGTTGGAAGGGGCCTTAAAGCTCCTCCAGCTCCAACCCCTGCCACGAGCAGGGACCCCTTCCACTAGAGCAGCTTGCTCCAAGCCCCTGTGTCCAACCTGACCTTGAACACTGCCAGGGATGGGACAGCCACAGCTTCTCTGGGCACCCTGTGCCAGCGCTTCGCCATTTGCCCAGCAAAATATGATGCTTGATGTGGCCACAACAGGTACGTGGAGTACCAGCCAACCACAGCCCTAACACTGCAAGTGTAGGGATTTAAAATAACTTCAGTATCTCTCAAAGTGTTAAATATGTAGAAATACTCATTACAATTCAGATAGTACAGAGTTTGGTGAGAATTTATTCAGGTTGTTACTCCCTTCTTCCATCTGTTACCCGTTCACACATTGTGGTCATCATCCCTCACTTCCCCCAGGAAGTCATAGGCCAGCTCGGAGATGTCGAAGGCTGTGTGAGTGTTCTCTGCTGCCAGCAGGTACTGGAGGGCCCCGTCGTTCTCTCGGCTCTTCTTCAGGAAGTCAGCGATCACCTTCCAGCGCAAGGCCTCGGACTCTTCCTCAGCCCACTTGTAGGGGGGCAGGAGAGTGGAGTGGAGCAGTGGGAACACGGAGTCGTGGTACACCAGCACGAAGAGGGACTTGAGAAACTCCCCATCTCTCTGCAGAGAGGAGTGTTTGGAGATGCATCAGTGCAAATACTGCTCCAGAAGTGCTGTCCCCAGGAACAACACACAAGAAAATGGTCAACTCGTCCCCAGTTCTCAGGATTACAACAGGAAGAGGTCTGACCTTCCTAAGCAAACATCACTTGGCTCGGGTGAGCTTCAAACTCCTTCCAGAAGCCCTCCATACTAGTACGGTAGTGGAGTGGTTTTGATGGCATTGCTTTTGTAGGTTATAAAACTGTAGAACCAGCCAGGTTGGAAAAGCCCTTTAAGCTCATCCAGTCCAACTGTTCCCCAGCACTGCCAAGGCCACCACTAACCCATGGCACTGAGGCCTCGTCTACGTGGGGTGTGAACACTTCCATGGCCCTGCTGCCACACTGGTGCTGATACAGGCCAGGATGCTGCTGGCTTCTTGGCTGCCTGGGCACAAGCTGCTCATGTTCAGCTCCATCAATCAGCACCCCCAGGTCCTTTTCCATGGGTAGTTTCCAGCCACTCTTCCCCAGGCAGGCTCTGCAGGCACAGGCTGAGGCTCTTTGCTCTTGCCGTGGGGCAGTGCCACATCCTCCCACCTCGGCAGCCCAACCTCTGCTCCCTTCTCCACTGCCCTAGGCAGGGAATTGCAGCAATCCCACACTCCTCACAGCACCCAGCTCTTGGCAGCAGGTGAGGCTGCACCACAAGTGCTCTCGTTTCACTCTGTGTGGGGTGAGAATGATGCTCTCCCTGGTAAAGACCAGTTTCAAAACCTAGAGGCTAAGAATCAGTCAGTTATCCAACACTGAAAGATCCCAACTGCTTTAACTGGACAAGATATAACTAGACAAGGTTTGGGTGCCTTGTTTTCCATGTGCACACTGGTGTTGTGCAGTTCATATCTCAGCAGGAGATTCAGCAGCGAGAACCATGCAAGGAGGAGTAAGGGTTCAGCAGGCAGCAATCCTGCCCTGGGAGTGGCACACAACAAATCAGGTAAAACTGGATGGTTCTGGGCTACCAGGGAGTTACTAATTCTTTGAGCAGATCAGCTTTCATTTGGGATTAATGGCCTTGAAAAAGTGATTCTGACTCAACAGCGTGTTGGTTTGTTTGCATAAACAGGGTGAACTCCTTGGGTAGCTGTTCAGTAGCACACACAGTGAATGGAATACCCTCCTGCTCCCAAGGGACAAGTCTTGGATGAAGAGCCAAAGCCTCTCTGGTTCAGTTACCTATAGCCTCTCCTTGTCCAGAGAGCAGGAGGTAGGACAAGGGATGGATAAACCTGGTGACACAGCCAGTCCTCCAACTGTCTGCACCCCAAAATGGGAGATACCAAGAGGCTGATGCAAGGAATGGGCAGGACGTGGGGCATTTTTCCAGGTGGACTGTGGGAGCTCAGAGGTGGAGGAGGGAAGGTTATTTCGTGGGCATACACAGCCCCTTTTGAGCCACTGGAAAGCTTTTACCAGACAAGTACTGGAGGCACCCTTTGGGTATGCACCTCTAATAGCTCCCCTGCTAACAACCCTATGCAAACACTGGGACAACAACTTGATGTCATATTCCTCCTTCTTCTAGTTTAATACTATAGGTACGGGTAAGAAATGTTAAGAACTGCATTTAGGTACCTGTTTTGTAAGTAACTGTATGATGAGAGGAAAAGGTAACTAGCAGTAACACTGACAGAAAGCTCCTAGTCTGATTTAGATTGAATATGTCACCAAAACCCCTGTAATTTCTTACCTTCTCAGATCTCTTCACTGTTCTTTCTCTATCTGCCCAAGCACTCTAAAATGAAATGAAGCATTAAATCAGACTCGAGGTTGTGGAGATCTAAAGCAATTCCATTTCTAGCTGCAAAAATCTCTCTTTTAACTGCAGTCCCCCAGTGGGTTAGGCTCCTGTTGCAGTCCCACTTCCTTCACACTCCCATACCCCCCTTGTGCCATGTTAACTGATTTAAGCAAAGAGCCATTCCACTGCATTGTACAGATACAAGGACTTGGAGATGTGGACATCAGATGCAGTTGAACACTATGTGGATAACATACCCGAAGTGCATCCATCAGGTCTGGCTGATCCATGAGTTGAGGGAAAGTTGCTAGAATAGGATTACAGATTAAATCTGAAACAGCAAACAAACACATTCAAGTTTAAGGAGGAAATGGGATGACTCTCAAGGTACTGACATGTCAAGTTATTCAGCACCTTCCCTCCCCTCAGACTATTCCAGAGGGAAGACTGGCTGTAATAATACTTCAGTGCAGTGGGGAAGGTGGAAGAACTCTCTGACTGCATCCTCTGTAGCAAGCTCCCAGTGGCTGAGAGACAGTTAACTGGGAGAGGAGAGGCACAAACCCAACTGCTCTGTTAGAAGCCAGAGACCTTTCAGGTTCCCCCTAGGGGCAGGCTGAGGTTTTCCTCATTTCCACACCTGTCTTTTTATAAACACCTGGAATTGTGCTGCTTGGCTTGGATGTTGTGAATAAACACACGTGTTCTGCCTTAACCTGCCTTGTCTGGTGCGCCATGTTCATAGAGTCCCAGCATCAGCCAGGCTGGAAAAGACCTTTAAGATCACCAAGTCCATCTCTCCATCAAGAGCCCAACTCCCTCCTGGCTCCATCCTCCTGTCAGGCACTTGTAGGGAGCAATCAGGTCCCCCCGAGCCTTCTCTTCTCCAGACTGAACCCCCCAGGTCCCTCAGCTGTTCCCCATCACACTTGGGCTCCAGGCCCTGCACCCAAGGGTTTCAGGTAACTGGGTAAGGAGCAGCACAGTGCATTGACTGAATGGGGCACATCCCAAATGGTACTGGGCTCCTCATGGGTCTCCTGTTGGAGCTGAGCTGTTTCACAGCCAGGCAAGGCAGAGCTCAGAGCTGCCTCCCCTTTCTCCGTTACAAAGCACAGCAAGTCTTGAGCCCCAGAGGCACAGAGGTCCTGTGCTGTCAGCATTTAGTTAATGAGATTGGGGATAAGGTTACAAGAGTGCCACAAGTGCCATACAGTGGAATGCTGGTTGAGGTGTTTTCTTTCTCTTGTCATTTGAAGTATTTGTTTCTTCATGTTGAAGTTGGTGGGTAGTTTAGTGAACATCATTTGCTGTTAACGTCGCAGGGAAGCAAGCCAGATCTGATCACTCCTGTGAAGTATAATGGGCATTTCAAGATGCCTGTTTCTGAATTGTTGGCTGGTTTTGAAATAAGAGAAATCTTATTTTCTTACACCAGAAAACGGCTACCAGAACAATGGCTGAAATGCTGGGGTAAAGCCTTTAACTCATTTCAAACAAAGACTGAATCCAAATGGATGCAGTTTAACTCCAGGAGAGGCCATCAGCCTGATCTGGTGTCCTACATTACAAAGATCAAACCAAGTAAGTACAGCAGTTCAAAACTGGCCTTCCAAAATGAAGTGTTTTAATGTCTCTGAGATGAGTTTATTAAATAAGGCATTAATTTAGAAAAGGGGCTGACTCTCAGGTACTGAAATCAAGTATACACAGGGTGTATATTAAAGGTCAAGAAAATCAGGAAGGGAGTTAAGGTCTGAGCACCTCTGAGAGATGATTCTGTAATTCAGATGCCTACGTATGGTTGAAGATTGGAAAGTTTTAAATGTCAGTAAGTGCACAAGCAAGTTTATCTGCCTTAGGAATGGGGGATAATTCAGTCTGGAGAAGACACAAGAAAATCACTTCCCAGCACCAATATAAATTCACCTGTAGCACAGTTTGTAGTGCAGAAATGTATTTATTCCCTATTTCAAAGCGATTTTAAAATGGAGAAGACCATGAACTGCTACAGTCCTGTTGAAGGGAAGATGGGGAAGGAGTAAGATAGAGAGTTGTGAAATCAGAGCAAGACACTGAGTTCTAAACCCAGAACTCTTCCTCTTCTGTCTCTCCCTGCTGCATCAGCCAAGAAGTAAATAATAATTAAAACAGCCTAAAGAGGATGACTTGGCCTCAAGGACAAAAACATCTGCCTCAGCTCCTCTATAACCCAGAACACGCATACACTGGAAATGAATGAGTAAACCTGTGTGCAGGTCTGATTTCTCATTGTAGGGGTGGTGAAAAGGAAACATTCATCTTCCAAATAATCCTTTACCTTTATTTGCTTCTTATTTACTTAGAAATAACCCTTTACCAATCCAAATAGACTTTAATGAGAATTTCCCTCAAAGCACTTCATTTGCTACATGAACTGATGTCAAATAGGGCAATATTTTAACTCATAGTAGATATGAGTTAAAATATTACTGGTTTGAAATGCAAACAGGCTTCCCAGCAAGAGGCTGTTCTCTTTTATCAGCTGGACAAGTTTGTGTTTGTCCCCACAACACCTCCAGACTGAAAGGCAAAACACTGAGCTCCACAGGAGCAGCTCTTACCTGTGCTTTGCAGGCTTACTCTGTCTTTCAGGAGTGCATCACCAAGGATTTGTCGATAGAATAGCAGGAGATGGCTGTAGCACATGCTGCCAATGAGTGTTTCTGGGAGCAAACTGAGTGAAAACAACATGCAGTTGAGACTGGCAGCAAAAACTGCTCCTAGGAAGCATTGTTCACCAAAACCTGAGGGTAAGAATGGCTTCATGGGGGTTATTATTGGCTCATATTGGCACTTCCACTGCTTTTGAAGGTGCATATTTATACAGCCACAAGAGCCAGGCTCCTGCTGTTGCTGTTTTCAGTCTTATCTAAACGTAAAACCTTTTTGTATGTGCTCAACAGAACAGCTGTAAGCATCAGAGATCAAGCACACCATGCAGGTGACATGACCCATAGCCAGTGTTCCAGGGAAGGGGAATACTTTAGATCTCTGGGACCATTGCAGGCAGTCTGGAATACTTCCCCATTTCATGGCAGCACACATGAATACTTACTACAGGATGTCTTTTGACTGCACACTCAGTGACCTCAGTCTCAGCACAAGCACAGGCTGTTTCTTGAGTGCCATGAACTGATGGAAAACACCACTGCCTGCTTAAGAAATCAATATCAAATATAAAATCAGCCAATTTGAAAGAATATTAATTCTATTACAAGAATGGACAAGAGGTGATTTACTGAAAACTGTAATGGTTTAAGCGTGGTCTAAACCCAGGAGGAATTGAAGATCTGAAAATACATCACCATGTGGTCTAACACAAACTGTGATCTCTCTCTAGTATGGTGGATTCATAGTATGTGTGGAGCAATGTGGAGGTAGGTGTCCAAATCCAGTATAAGGGCCTTCTGGAGCTTACAGCGTGTCACAGCTGCAAGTGGACATTATCATAGCTTCCAGAGGAAAGCCATGGCTGCCCTCATCTGAACACAAGTGGTCTCTCATCTGAACCAGCTCCTAGTGGAGCTTTATTCAGCCCCACAGGGAAGCACCTGTACAGATGTTCTGCAGCACATGCATGCACATGTGGAACTTGTGCAGAAGTGACAGGGGATTGATGGCTGGGAACTCCAGAGCAGTGTGGCTGCTGAGCCTTGTGCCATCCATCACCCCACAGCCCAGAACTGATAACTGCAGTTAAAGAAACAATCCAAAATGCTTCTCAGAGCTAAACCTCAACCTGTGGACACTGGAAGGACAGAAACATCAGCACTGGCACAGTTCTGAAGCCCATCAGCCCTAACAATCATAGGATCATAGAATGGTTTTGGTTGGAAAGGACATTAAGATCATCCAGTTCCAACCCCCTGTCATGGGCAGGGACACCTTCCACTAGAGCAGCTTGCTCCAAGCCCCTTCCAACCTGGCCTTGATCAACACTCTTGCACAAAATGAGAACACCCAAACCAAAAGCAGACTGTGGCAACTGTATGGTAATGAGAGATAATAAGAACATGCTGTAAAATACATATAGCTTTTGTTGTGTGCTTTCTTTTATATAGTGTTGAGAAGAAACCATACCTCTTCTTGATATTGATGGGTCAACCTCGACACCTCTCTCACAGGGAGTCCCACCATTTAAAGGCAGCTCGTACATCCTGTGAAAGAAGAGCAGCATGGTTGAAATAAAGAGGTGTGAGGATGTGAGAGAACAGCACAACCACTGGCTGAGAAGGAAAACCTGCTGTCAAACAAAACCTGACCCAGTGCTTGGTGTATGACTAGTGTTTGCCACGAAATGACTGCGCCTACTGAAGTAACCAAACCTCAAATGGTAAGTTTGGAGCTAGTTGATTCTATTGTAAGAAATGAGCAACGTTGATTCTTTCCCACAGGACACAAATATCTTTCTTCTGTGAAATTCAGCAATTGTTTCACCATAATGCTCTCGAGGAGTCGTGTATGTAGCACGTTTTAGACAGGGAAGATTTAAAACCTCAAAGAATAACATCACCCCAGTTCTGTCACGAGTCAGTCGCTGCTGAAGCAAACATGCGATTTCACTCTAGATACCACAGTTAACGGTACAGAAAACCAATGTTAGAGATCAAGTTTAGGTGAGATTTAGAGACTTACAGAACAGCAGAGGTCCTGCCTTGTAATCCAGATACATTTAGAATACACACACATATATATATGTCATAAAAAACAAGTATTGCAAGCCTGATCTCCACTGAGTCATTTCAGTCAATCAACAGAAAGCTTTCCTACATTTAATAAAATAGAGATCTGTACAGTTATTACTCTTTAACCATAAATAGGCTGCAAAACACAAGCTTATTCACACTCTGCAGGTGCAGTGAGAGATTCATTCACAGAAACTCCCACTTGCTTCCAAGTCTTAGAAACCAATCTCATTCTCACATAAAAAGGAATCTTTGGCAAAGCACACGTAGAGAATCAAACAGGATGTTGTCACCTTTGATTCAGATGATGATTCTGCTTTATACAAACAGGACTCTAAATAATTCCCTATTAACTCAGAGAATTCCATAGTTCTAATATTCCACTGAAGGTTATCTTTTAAACACACCAACTTGCAACATCCCAAACCTGAATCCTGGGGTCCAGGGACACTTTTCCCACACAAACATAGTAGAACATACACTGGGTGTGGAAACAGGTCCAGGATTCACACTGGAAGACCCAATAGCCTGGATTACACCTGCCCCTATCAGTGTGCAAGTATAAATAGGCACCTTACTCCTAGCCTAAAATAGATGTATATGCATAAGCATGTAAATACAGAGAGAGAGAGAAGGAAAACAAACGTACTTGGCAGGAACAGGCATTCCATTAGAAGTAAAAAGCTTCAGGAATACCCAGCCACAGCTCAGCTCTCCTCTTTCCCCTGTTGACTAGGAAAATATAGGAGAAACTAAGTGATTTGAACAGCTAAACCACAATGAATAACTGACCACAAGCAGTTATATAGAATAATCATATAAAAAGCATAAGAATAGTAAAAGCTCCAGATTTGGGCTAGGCAGCCACTGACTGTGTCACATTCCCAGGTGTTTGAAGGCATTTACCAACCAGACACAGCTGATCATCCATGAAGATATTTAAGAGGCAAGGATTTATAAAGCCAAAAACCACACACTTAAGCCCAAAGTACATCAAGAATTGGTCCTTTGCAATCCCATCGCACGAGATCTTTGGCAGACTAACAAGTTATTTCAGTAAGCAAAGGTACATTCATGCCCACCAAGCAGAAAGTCTTTGATTCTCTAAACACTGACTAGAACTAAAGGTTCCAAACCCAACATCTCTCCTCCCTTCTAGAAGTCAAAGGACGACAATCTTACAGTAAGCTAGGCAAAGTTCCCCTTAATTCCCATACAGATCCCACAGTTCACTGCTGGGATACCACAGCTTGTGTCTCACATGGGGCAGGTGGTTCACTTGATAAAACTGTGCTTGGAATGATTTCTGCTGCACCTTCACACACTCACATTGCGAATGTAAGTGATGCCAAGTTCAAACAACAGACCAATGTCTGCAGCCAGGGAGTTGGACCTGACAAAACAGTCTCCATCCAGCAAGCTGGGTAAAATGCCTGTTACCTATAGAGAGGGGAAGCAACAAGAAAAGTCAACGTATCTATTAAAAAGAAACAACTCTGATTTTTAAAGACCACTTACATAAGATCTCACAAACAATCCATTGCATATAAAAGCATGATGTGCAGAGAAGCAGTTTCAGTTGAAACCTTGCTCCTTCTTTATCTTACCATGAAACACAGCTCTGCTACCAAGGTAATTTTGTGCTATTAAACACAATTAAACACATTAACAAGCTATTAAAGAACTTTTGATGTTAAAAAGCACTTAATTCCTTCCAAGAACACAGCAACAACTGCGGTAAAACATGACCACGGTACTGCTCTGATGTGGCCCTGCACAGCACCTGGAACATGGCACAAAGATTGTGCTCTTTTATAATGAAATCAAGCAGAAGCTCACATGCAGAGTGCTTGGTCTCATCCCTTCTCCACGAACACCACGCACCATGTGCCTGATCCTGCTCCAATATGAACCGGTGCTGCCAACACCAGTCCCTCCAACTAATCCTGCCCCCCAGCTCTTCTTTCCCAAGTGTTTTTGCTAAATCACTTGGTTTGGTTTGAATTCACGCACTTCAGCAAGTCTTTTCTGCGTGTTCATCGTGGTTGCAGTATGCTTTATGTCCGTGTGAATACCAGAAGTAATAGCTGTCACTAAATCAGAAGCTGCAGACAGGCACTTCCTGGCTGTGTCACTCGCTGAGGGAGGCACCTACCTTGGGAGAAAAGCTCCAGGTTTGAGGGTTTTTAGGTTGCCACGTAGCTCTCACTGTGTGAATGTTACTGAGCACCTAGAGAATAACAGCAGTGACAAAAGCTAAGACAGGTTTATCTGGAAAGCTTTGCAGCTGTAAGAAAATGCAGAGTTATCCCAGATTAATCCAACATTGCACACAAATAAAATCACACTTTCTCTTCAGCTCTATCAGATGGTTTCAGTTTAAAGGACTAGAGACAAAGTCTTCTCTGGAGCCTGAGTGCTTTCAGAGTGCTTTCCAACCATTCCTGCTTCATACACACCAGTAATAATCCCTTTGCCCCCAAGAGGGCTCAGTGCAGCTGCAAGGAAACTGCTTAGATCCTGTTATACAAAGCTGCTCCACACAGAGGAATACCCAGGATCAAGGTCAGGGTGTGTGTCGGGGGGAATCTGAAGATGACCCTGACCAAGCTGTGTGCAGGCAGGTCACAGGAGAGAGATCAGCCCAGAAACACTCATCTCCACAAACAGAAAGGACAAAGAAGCCTCAATGGCAGGAGGGGAACCGAAATGATGGCTCCAAAAATGATGGAACCGAAAGAATGGGAGCCCCAGCCCCTCCCAGTGCTGCCCAGGACAGCCCCAGGGCCAGGTGTGACTCTCATGGTGGTGAGTCAATGGGAGCTGCATCACCTACAGCCTGACAGGGCCTGATGCTGTGGGGCGAGAGGCTGGTGTGAAGAGGAAGGTCACGCTGGGGCAGAACATCACTTAACTATGGCATGTTCAGGGGAGAAACCCAAAGCAGGAAAAGGGAGGGATCAAGGTGCTCTGTGGAGCAACAGGGGTGGGATAAGTACACGTCTGGCCATGCCCAGTGCCTGCCTGTCCTGTTTTCTCATTCAGCCCCATTTATAACTACTTGTCTGTCTTGGAAATAAATGATCTCTAAGGTCTCTTCCAACCCAAACCATCCTATTCTCTATTGTGATTATATACTGTGTATATATGTATATGTTATTCTCTATTCTGAATGTGTGTGTGTGGACATTTAGGTGCCAGGGGCCAGCCAGACTCAGGCCACTGGGGGCCAGCGTGTCTGTGGTGCCTCAAGTGTGTGATCACAATCCAGCCAGACTGATCAGAGAGTGTGTTAAGCAGCTTGGGAGGCAGACTCTGTGTGTGTGTCTCTCTCTGAAAGCAGTTGGGCGACCAAAGAAAGCAGAGCACAAAAAGATCCACATCTCATCAAGGCTTTTTCTGACAGCCAAACAACTCACCCGGTTGCCATCGAAGAGGCAGAGCCGAACGTGTCTGCTGAGAACCTGAATGCTGACCCCTGGAAGAGGAATCATTTTACAGCCACATAAAGTTACAATCAGGGATACTCGAGTTGGTCTGGGAGAGATCTGAAATACAAACAGAAGGAGGGTAAAATCCATGGGGTGCTCCTGCACGTGGCATCATTCTGTGCTTATCTACTGAGACGATCAAGTGTAGTGTTCACTAGACTGCATTCTTCTAACCACAAAGCTTGTGTAGCGTTAGCAGCAGCAGCAAAATTCCTTCATAAGCCTTTAGCTCTCCCTAAGGAGACTCCTACAAACCCACAAACTTCAGATGAAACCCAACATGACAATTTGTACCCATTTGCTGCCTATTTGGAGGGCAGGAATTGTCAACATGTACTGCCTAAGGAGTCTATTGACACTGAAATCTGTCATCTGTCTCACAGCAATATTTACCCACCAATATCAGGTACTGCTAGCAATTCCCCTCGAGATCCTGCCACTCTCTCAAACCAGAAGCACCAAAGCTTTCTTACCAGCAATACTCACAGTATCTTTTTCAGCATCCCACACCAGGTCTTTGAAAGCCAGTTGGGATGGAGTGAGTTCAGGCTGCAGAAAGCGACTTGCTCGAAACTGATTGCCTACAAGAAGAGTGATTTTAAAAACTTAACATTTTTCATGATCTTTATTGCCAAAAAAATGAACACCACCCCAAAATTCGCATGTGGCTAAGTCCATTTGGATATTTAAGTGGTCCAGACAAAACTATGGAGGTATCTTCCACAAGCACCCTTTAAAAGGGCAACTTTTACTGTTTTAAAGTATTTTGCAGTGTTTTGTTCCTATAAAGCTATTTATTTGAAACAGCTTCAAACAAAAAGGCTAACAAAAGATGAGGTGTGCAATGTATTTAAATGGGAAAGAGACTCCAAAAGATTTCTGAGAAAAAGGGAAGATTAAAAATCATCTTTTTCTGCAACACCAACAAGAAGTATTTTCCAAAGAGGAAAATCTTTGCAATCTCTCAGGAAATTGGTCATTGCCTCCATGTGGCTGGGATTTCACACATAAATAAATGTGATAATAAATATAAATTAAAACTTAATTGAAGGACAAAAAGCCTTTGCTACATTATTTATGGGTCAGATATAGCCTGTACAATTACCCCAAAACAATTAAGCAATACTGATGGGATCCCAACAGGCTGTAGCCAAGATAAGAAACTCTCCACAGACACTTGAGAATCCTGCAGTGGAATTATGATGAGAAAACCTTAAGTACTCACCTTCTTCCAAGAGCTGGAAAAGCGTGGACAGACGGAATCCTGCAGGAACAGCTCCTATGGTTGTCAGTACCTCTACTGTGTCATTCTGTTAAAAAGTGAAAGAAAAAGGGTACTGGTATTCCTGCTGTTTAACAGTGAATTCTATCCTAATCCAGAACTCCCACACAGCCAGTATGAGAGACGTGGGACAGTGGCCACCTCTTCTTATGTGAACAAGGGGGAATGGCTTGAACCTGCCAGAGGGGAGACTGAGCTGAGCTCTTAGGCAGAAGCTCTTCCCTGTGAGGGTGCTGAGGCACTGGCACAGGGTGCCCAGAGAAGCTGTGGCTGCCCCATCCCTGGCAGTGTTCAAGGCCAGGTTGGACACAGGGGCTTGGAGCAAGCTGCTCCAGTGGAAGGGGTCCCTGCCCGTGGCAGGGGGTTGGAATTGAATCAGCTTTAACCTCCCTTCCAACCAAACCAGTCTGTGTTCTGTGACCCATCCTCAGGAGCAATGTTTCATGTGTGAACCCAGCCAGACTCCTGTTTTGTTAAATCTCAACTCGGTTTCGAAGCAGCAGAGCAGCCAGCTACAGAATGAAATCACCCCCTTGAGAAAGAACTGGTTTAGTACTACTGTGGCAAAACAACAAAAGACATCTTCTTTGCATCTTCTCTCAGCCACACAGCTTGGGCTGCACCCTATTTCTAAGGTGTTAGAGACATTTCTGTAGCATTTCTTGCCACAAAACCGCAAAATAGAGGATGTTAATTAAAAACAACGGTGTGGGGTACAAGAAACAGCGTTTGGTAAAGGCAAACCTTGTCCAAAAATAATTAATATTGTGGTAGATGAAGTTGCCATGCAAGAGGTACACCTACCTCTGTGATAGCTCTTCTTAGAGCACTCCAGTGAGAATCAGTTCTGGAAGAAAAAGAATGTATTTCTATGATACATCATCCTTGTATCATTAAACATTGCTCTTCAAAGAGCAGCAGCTTAATAACCATATCTGAGATACTAATAATGGACATTTCCAGCCACTAAGACCAACTGCTGGACTATCTCATGAGCTGGATACACGAGACAGTTACACTTTGATCTTATGAGGGGGAAAAACATAATCAAAGGCAAACTCCCCAACAGACCCAGTCAAGGAAAAGCACGTCTGCCCACTGATAACAGGGCAAGTGACTGCTGTGCTGGAAGGAAAAGTGCAAGAACCAAATACCTTCTGAGGTATTCTCACTGTAAGAAATGTACCACCGGATTTAAGGAAGGGGAAGAAGGATTTGACACTTATGTGCTGTCACATCACTCCATTTACCTTTTTTTGATTTCAGTTCCATCTGCTGTTTCATCCACTACTTCTACCTGTTCTTCACTTTGCTCTGGGCTTTCGTCATCTTCCTTGTGAACCTGTAATTCACATTCAGAACAGCAAACTGCTTGATTTGTTCACAGCTCTGCTCTTAAAAATGCTTTCCCCAAGCACAGCATGTGTTAAGAGTTCAGAAGAGGAGATTTTCTGTCTGTGATGTGGATTCTTTAGAGAAATACATCAGCATCATGAAGTCAATGTGCTCTTTAGTTGCAGTCTGAAGAGCTCTGTTCCACCTGATCACTCCAAACTGTGTACCCATGTCTAAATGTTCATCACAAGTGTATGCATATATAATGCATAATATATGTACATATACCTAATATATGTGCACATATATATAGTATATATGTATATGTACATATACATAACAGATGTACACATATATTATGCATATATGTGCATAAGTACATAAACTAGCAAGTTCCAAAGCTTTAAATTACAAAATACTCCAACATTTACAGGGAGTCACATTTCATGTAAATTAGGAAAAGCCAAATAAGACCCTTGGAGTCTTCAGAGCTGACCTTTAGTGACACAGACTATGACCTTCGTATTCAAGATACTTCTCTGCACTTGTATGGCCCATCTTCACAAGGCACAAAATACTGCTTTTGCCAGTTGCCTCCACATACATGGATACAAACATGGTGTTAGTTCCAAATAACTGGTGAAACACTGCAGGTAAGCACTGTGATCACTTTTATGCAGCTGTATTATCATTAATATATATATGTATGTATATAAAAGAACAGAGGTGAGCCTGGGACAGAAGGAGGCTGCAGAACACTCACCGCAAGATAGGTTCTAGGGACGAGGCCTCTCTCCCCTCTTGAGTTCTCAGCTACCCACCAGCCATCTGCCTTCTTGTCATGTATGAAGAGGATTTCCCCTTTCTTGCCATCAAAAGGAGACAGAGACAAAAGAGAACCAAGTATTTCAAAACAGCTCCAGGCACAACTGAAAGTAACAACACAAAAGCTTATTTTTTCCTCACAACAAAGATCACACAGCAGACCCACCACTACAGGAGGTGCCAAAAGGACACTGGATTCCCGAAGCCACTGCTCCCCAGATCCCACAGGGAACTGGCTGAATCCCAGAAGCATGAGATTTAATCATAGTTATTGCTTAACACACAACTACCTGCAGCCCAGAGCCACATTTACCGTGAATGTGAGATCCCCTTCCTGCTGTGCATCAAAGTTCCCAACGGCGATGCATTCCTTAATGTTTGGATCATCCAACAATTTATCCTCCTCATCATCATCTTCTGCTTCTTCACTGTCTTTCTCCTCACTACTTTCTTCATCTTCACTCTCATCCTCTTCTTCATTTTCATCTTCTGATTGAGGACCTTTCTGATGGTGCTTGTCTCTACCCAAAATAAATCAATTATTATTTAGACAAAACTTGTTGAAATTACTGTAGATCCTTGAGATACTGCCTTCTCTCCATTATCCACATCCAGAATTGTCATTCCTGTGTTTTACTCTCTGTCCTCATCTGAAAAAACTCCCAAATCCCAGTGGTGTTTCCTTCCTAAGTGTACAGACCACAAGTGTGATGGGGAACAGCTGAGGGACCTGGGGGGTTCAGTGTGGAGAAGAGAAGGCTCGGGGGGGACCTGATGGCTCCCTACAAGTGCCTGACAGGAGGATGGAGCCAGGAGGGGCTGGGCTCTGCTCCCAAGGAACAAGGGATGGGACAAGAGGAAACGGCCTCAAGCTGCACCAGGGCAGGTTTAGATGGAGCTGAGCAACAATTCCTGCCCCAGAGGGTGCTCAGGCATTGGAACAGGCTGCCCAGGGCAGGGCTGCAGTCACCGTCCCTGCAAGGGTTCACACCCCGTGGAGACGAGGCCTCAGTGCCATGGGTTAGTGGTGGCCTTGGCAGTGCTGGGAATGGTTGGACTGGATGAGCTTGAAGGGCTTTTCCAACCTGGCTGATTCTGTGATTCTATGACCACACTGCATCCTCTCCCCTCAACAGCCACACTGTATTTCAGCCATGAACCAACACCCTCAGAGAATTCCAGCCAGTTGTTCATGGCTGCATCAAGAGAACAAGCCCCACAAGAGCCATCTCCTGAGCACGTCTTCCTTAACTGCATGTTAAGGTAATAAAGGGGATAAGGTAACTGTTTCTCATGGACCTTTCCAACTGTACACATTGTACACTTCTAATTCCATAGAAGCACAAACTGTATTTGTTTAAGCTACTTACACTGAGGACTTCTTTGTCGTGTTATCCTGATCCAAGGCAAGAACAAGCTTCTGCAGCTGCTGAGAGAGTTTTAGCAACAGCTTTTCTTCTTCTTCTTTCCTCTGATTGTAGTTCCCCACAGGTGCAGGCTCATCAGCCTGAGAAAGAATCACAGAATAGTTAGGGCTGGAAAGGACCTTAAGATCATCCAGTTCCAACCCCCTGCCATGGGCAGGGACACCTCACACTAAACCAGGGCACCCAAGGCTCTGTCCAACCTGGCCTTGAACACTGCCAGGGATGGAGCATTCACAACCTCCCTGGGCAACCCATTCCAGTGCCTCACCACCCTCACAGGAAAGAACTTCCTCCTTAGATCCAATCTAAACTTCCCCTGTTTAAGTTTGAACCCGTTACCCCTTGTCCTGTCACTACAGTCCCTAATGAAGAGTCCCTCCCCAGCATCCCTATAGGTCGCCTTCAGACACTGGAAGCTGCTCTGAGGCCTCCACGCAGCTTCTCTTCTCCAGGCTGAACAGCCCCAACTTTCTCAGCCTGTCTCCACACAGGAGGTGCTCCAGGCCCTGATCATCCTCGTGGCCTCTGGACTTGTTCCAACAGTTCCATGTCCATGGTTGTGTGATCAACACAACCAATCACTTCAAGAATCAAAGTCCCCTTCAAAGTGAATGTTCCAGACTTGCTTTCCAAGCAACCCTCCTGGGCTGCTCTCCCTCCCCACCCAGTGACATCCTGCTTCCCCATTTACTAAGTGTATAAATGGATCTCAGAGATCCCAGTCAGGGACTGTGTGGTGCTTGGCACTGGTCTTGTCCTGACCCATCTCAATGGAGGCTGATGTTCTCTAAACACTCCCCACGATGAATCCTGGTGAAAACCATTAACAAATTCACCTCCGTACTCACTTTTTTCAGGTCACGAAGAGCATTTGTGTTCTCATCCACCAGTTCCTTCAGCTGCATGCATCTGCATTGCAAGCAAAGCAGAGAGATGGTGTTTTCTTCAATTCTCACTGAAGCATACCAGTTTACTCACAACTTCACCCAGTTCCATGCACACACAGCTTGCGAATGCCAGCACAAGCGCAAGCATCAGCTGAGGTGATGACTATTACCTGTGATGTGCAAGTTCCCACTTAAAACTACCTCAGCCCTTGAGGAAGCAGCCAGCCTGTTGCTTCTGCCTGGAAAACAGACGAGTGAGACGGGGCTGGGAAGAGAGATGTGGAATTAGGAGGAAAATGGAAAGGTGTGTGCAGGGAACCGTCTGCTCCTTCTCCTGGTGCAAAGGTGATGGGAATCATGGAATGGTTCGGGTTGGAAAGGACCTTAAGATCATCCAGTTCCAACCCCTTGCTATGGGCAGGGATGCCTCAAACTAGACTGTGTTGCCCAGGGCTCTGTCCAACCTGGCCTTGACCACTGCCAGGGATGGGGCAGCCACCGCTTCTCTGGGCACCCTGTGCCAGCGCCTCAGCACCCTCACAGGGAAGAGCTTCTGCCTTATCTCCAGCCTGAACTGCCCCTGTTTGTTTGAACCCATCACCCCTCGTCCTGTCCCTACAGGCCCCGATGAAGAGTCCCTCTCCAGCATCCTTGCAGGCCTCTTCAGGCACTGGAGCTGCTCTGGATTTGCCAGGCCTTAGCGCAGGGTGGCCAGGAGATGTTTCTCTCCAGCACACGGTCTCAGGCCACGCACCCCGCCCGCGGCACGCCGCTATAGACCGGGGGAAGGCCGAGGCCGGGTCCCGCAGCGCCCGCCGGGCACCGCCTCACCTCAGCGAAAGGGCCTCCCGCTGCCCGGGGGCCGGGGCCGCGCACTCCTCCCGCAGCGCCTCCACCTGCAACACAGGAGCGGGGCCGTGAGGCGCGGGGCCGAGCCCCGGCCGGGCCGTGCTGCTCGCTCCCACCCCGGTACCTGCTCCCGCAGCTCCCGGCTCCGCCGCTGCACCCGCTGCAGCGGGCCCCGCGCCCCCCGCGCAGACATGGTTGCCAGGCAACGGGCGCGGCGGCGCGGCGCGATGTCGTCACTTCCTGGGCGGGAGGCACCTCGGGAGTCGTAGGCGCTGAGGGGCGAGCGCGGGGCACGGGAGCCGGAGCGGCCTCGGCCGGCAGCGGAGCCCCCAGGCACGGCCCGGGCCTGCCCGTGGACAGGAGCTGGGGGTGCTGAGTGATGGAGCTGAACACGAGCAGCTCGTGCCCAGGCAGCCAGGAAGCCCCCAGCATCCTGGCCTGGATCAGCACCAGTGCGGCAGCAGGGCCAGGGCAGGGATTGTGCCCCTGTGCTGGGCACTGGTGAGGCTGCACCTCGAATCCTGGGTTCAGTTCTGGAGCCCTCACTGCGAGAGAGACATTGAGGGGCTGGAGCGGGGACAGAGAAGGGCAGCGGAGCTGGTGCAGGGCCTGGAGCACAGGGGTGATGGGGAAGGGCTGAGGGACCTGGGGGGTTCAGTGTGGAGAAGAGAAGGCTCAGGGGGACCTGATGGCTCCCTACAAGTGCCTGACAGGAGGATGGAGCCAGGAGGGGCTGGGCTCTGCTCCCAAGGAACAAGGGATGGGACAAGAGGAAACGGCCTCAAGCTGCACCAGGGCAGGTTTAGATGGAGCTGAGCAACAATTTGTGCCCCAGAGGGTGCTCAGGCATTGGAACAGGCTGCCCAGGGCAGGGCTGCAGTCACCATCCCTGCAAGGGTTCACAGCCCGTGGAGACGAGGCCTCAGTGCCATGGGTTAGTGGTGGCCTTGGCAGTGCTGGGAATGGTTGGACTGGATGAGCTTGAAGGGCTTTTCCAGCCTGGTTGATTCCATAATTCTGATTGACAAGTGTCCTGCAGCCATCTCTCAGGAGAGCCCTGTTCCTGCCCTCCACGTAACAACCTGTAAGGCTGTGACATGTCAGCTTCTGGACGATGCACACGCTTCTCACTGGTAATCATTCCCCCTGCCTCTACCAAATGGCACCCATAGGCAGACAATGGCACCCGCAGCTGGGCAGTGGTTTGGCTCTTTTTCCCCATAACTTTTACCTCTGTTCAGCCCCACAGCTAAAGCCAGCAGCCTGCAGTGTGCAGTGAATCCTCCAGCGCAAAGCAGGAGCACCCCCTCCTATCAGACACAAGGAAACGCTTCTGGAGTTCACTAGTGAGGGGAAGCAGGAATGCACTACAGCCTTCTCTGGACATTTCCCTTCCCGAAGCCCTAGAAGAAACAGAGTCCAAAGCACAAGCAGCCTTCATTTAATTTGCTCATTCACTCGATCAACGCGCGCAGCCGATTGTCCCGCAGGTTTTACTTCCTATGCGTACTCCCAGAACGAGACCTGTCATTCAGTGCGGTGCCTCCCTCGTTACGAGCGCCCGCAAGGAACGTTTCCAGACGAGCAAACACATCCAGGCCCCCCACGTGCTGGCTGTCGGTAGTTTAACGCTTCAGCAGCACCCTGTGGAGCGGGCAGAACTGCAACAGGCTTGGAGCAAGGCAAACGCAGAGTGTCCTTTGAGAAAGGGAAATGTGGCCACGGCGTTCCGGCACCCTCGGCGCTCTGAGGCAGTCAGGATCATGGACGCCGTCCGTTCCCAGCACCGCTTCCACGTGCGTTCCCCTCTGGCATCAGCGTGCGGTGAACCCGGTTCCCTCAGGCGGCATCCAGCGAGGCTGCCGCAGGCACCCGGAGCTCCGCGCCGAGCTGCAGCGAGCGCGGCCGGGGCCGTGCTCCGGGGCGGGTTCCGCGCGGCTCAGGCCGCCTCCAGCTGCTCCTGCGCGGCTGCGAGGCGGCGCTGGAGCCAGCGCTGGCGCCAGCGCAGGAAGCGGCGGCGGGCGCGTCCCGCCTGCCACCCCACCAGCACACCGGCGGCGAAGGCGGCCAGCAGCGCCCAGCGCACGGCCCGCAGCCGCAGCGCCTCCAGCGCCATCCCCGAGCCCGGCTCCGGCTCCGCCTCCCGCTTCCGCCGGGGCGGGCCCGTTAAAGGCGGTGGGGAGGGGGCGCAGTGATTGTCGCGCCATGGCGGAGGCCGCCTCGCAGGTAGCGGGGGACCGGGGCGGTCCCTGGGAGGGTTGGGGGTGATGGGACCTCGGTAACAGGAGGGGGATGCGGGAGTGCGGAGCTGCGGCATCCCCTGACCGCTTCTTGCCTCTATAGAGCGTCCTAGGGCGAGGAGCACCGCCTTTACAATACCGCTTCTCGCCTCTATAGAGAGCCCTGGGGAGAAAAGCATCTCCCTTGAATGCCGCTGCTCGTGCCCTGGGCTGAAAGGCCTCCTTTGAACGTCCGCTCGGAGTTTAACTCAAGCTCCAGCACCGCCTGAGCTGTGTCTGTGTTTTCCCCCTTTCCACAGGATCTCCTGCTGGCAGCAGCGTTTGTGTCCGATGCACAATACAACCGAAATATCCCGTTTAAGACGTCCCCGGAGGCGGTCAGGTAAGGAGCTCTGCATGCCACAGACACCCACAGCATCGCATCGCGGCAGGGCTCCGTGCTGGTGTGGCAGTGTGGTGCTGTGGGGCACTCAAACTGGCATAGACAGAACTAACCATAACTGTGTCCAAAGAGCAGCAGCCAAAAAAAAGGCTGGGGACCCTGGCTTCAGCAGCTCGGTGCTGGGGAGGCTGGACAGGAAGAACTGGACTTAAGGCTGAAATAATAGAATCAGTGAGGTTGGAAAAGCCCTTTAAGCTCATCCAGTCCAACCATTGCCCAGCACTGTCAAGGCCACCACTGCCCCATGGCACTGAGGCCTCGTCTCCACGGGGTGTGAACCCTTGCAGGGACAGTGACTGCAGCCCTGCCCTGGGCAGCCTGTTCCAATGCCTGAGCACCCTCTGGGGCAGGAATTGTTCCTCAGCTCCATCTAAACCTGCCCTGGTGCAGCTTGAGGCCGTTTCCTCTTGTCCCATCCCTTGTTCCTTGGGAGCAGAGCCCAGCCCCTCCTGGCTCCATCCTCCTTTTAGGAGGTCAGATGGGGCTCAGAGCATCTGCATGTTGAGGATGGGAAAGGAAATAAGAACTGGGTTTTTTTCTAGAGCAAACAAAATCTCCCAGGGCTGCAGCTGTAGCGAGTGCTCTGTGGGGATGAGGAGGTTGGGAAGCTGGGTCAGCCCCCCCTGTGTGAGAGGAGATGCTGGGTGTGAGTGCCAGGGGTACAGGAGATGCCTCACGCCAGGCAGTCATGGCTGTTACCCCTTGGCTTGGCAGTGGGTGACACCAACTCACTGCACAGCAAAACCTCAGCTCATCATGGCAGCCCATTTGCTCAGGTGTGCTTCAAAAGGGTGGTAGCTGCTAGGGGCAGGAGTAATTAAAAGCTTACGTTAATTGGTGCTAAGTGAAATTGCCCAAGTCAGGAGTGTTTTGCCTGGGATGGTGACTCTTAGTTGCTGCTGAGAGACTGAGCAGCTTCAAAGAAGTGACTTTTGCTTTAGGCAAACTGTTGCTGTGTGTAAAATGTAAGAGAAAGTGGCTGGTGTAGAGGGGAAAGGGCATACAACAGACTGGCAGCAAAGCAGTGAGTGAGCATTAATGGCTCCTGTAGCCCTCCCCAAATAACCCTTCCCTTTTATGTTGTCTTATGTCTGAGCCAGTGAAGTTTCTTGGGTGTCTTGGAACACAGGTATGGTTAAGGATGTTTGTTACGGAGGATTTGAGTGAGTCTGTGCTGTTGTGTCACTGTAATGCCTGTGTGCATCATCTTGGCCAAGTATGCTTGGTATAACAGATAGAAATGATCAGGTTTTGCATAGTGGTGTCTTGATGGTGTTAAGGGCATAATACCATGTCGTGTGTGTGATCCCCTGCCCTGTAGCCTTCCTGCAGGTGGTTATTTAGCAGGTGAGATAACCCTTTGGCAGTGTTGGCAGCTCTTTTCTTGGCAAAACACCTTCCTGCCCTGTAGATCTGAGACTTCCCAGGGGAGCCACTGTCACGTGCAACTGTGATATACCTCCTCAAGGTCACTCCTGGTGTTCAGTGGAGGTTTGCCTGCTGTAGGGGCTGGAATGCTGCAGGAGTTGTGTATAAAGCCAGCTTACTGTGCAGCCCCATACTTGTCTCTGGTGGCTTTTCTTATCTCCTTGCTCTTTAACCTGCAAAGAAAGGATGTGAGATACCTATTCAGGCTTAGTTGGTGTGTCATGGGGATACCTGAGCCTGGCAGGAGTTTGCACTCAAACTGAGGAACAAGGTAATTGCAGAAAGGAAGCAGCTTTACCAAATCCACATGTTGCGGCCTTAAACTGAACTGAGGGGTACCTGTATTCCACCTTCCTGCTGTGTCTGCTCCCTGAGAGCACATGTAGCATCCATCAGCCATGAGACTGTAAGGAAGCGATAGGAAATGAGTTGCCAAACCCCTGGCTGGCAAAGCCTGTGCTGCTGTTCCCCCTCCTCCTCTGTGACTGCCTGGGACAGCGTGTGCTGTCCTTCCAGGGTGCACTTAGTGAGCCCACGGCTATGTGCACTGAAGCCTTTATTTATGGTGCCTCTGCCCTCCTTCTACAGGCTTTATTACCTCTATAACCACTGGATTATGCGAACAGCCACCTACTTCTTCATCTTTCTCAACCTGTCCCTTGCATTGTTTGAAGAACCTGCTGTGTATCCTCTCCCTTTCTTGGTAAGTTCTCAGTGTAGAAGCAGCAATGCAATAGTACTGTGCTGCTTGGTAGAGCAAGCAAGGGTTTCTTGCTTGAAGCTGGTTGTCAGAGGTGTGTCAAGAGATAACTGATGCTGGTATTTCTTTTATCTTTAATCTACTGAAATGGGGACAAAAAAGGGGTATAGGAGCTAGGCAAGCACTATGGGAGCCAGGCAGGGACTATGGGAACCATTGTCGCTGTCAGGAGTAGCTGACATGACTGCAAAGTGATGTTGCTTTTCTGTATCTTGGAGCCTTGCACGTGACCTCATGTCTGAAAGCAGAAGTGAAGTGTTGCACTTGGGACTGACTTTTTATAGCCTTTATTTGTTGTGCGTTGTGCTTGTGAGAGGTGTGCTCCTTGAATCCTAAGCAAACACAAACTACTGGATTAACCTGCCTGTGGCAGGGAATGTCACAAAAGGAAGCCTGGAACTGTTGCTCAGTGCCAGATGTGTGAGGCTCTGAAACCCCCAACAGCAAAACCCATTGGAAAACTCTTCTACTGACTCCAGCTGTGGTTTTTCTTTGCCTGTACCCCAGCTTGAACGTCCCATCTGTGCAAAGAGGGCTAATGCTGCTTTTGGTTGCCCTGCCTTGGCCCCTTGTCTCCCTGCAGGTCACTTCAGTGGTCGAGGTGCTGTGCCTTCTGGTGTTCTTTGGCCGCCTGACCCATTTTGCAAAGGTCACCCCTCGCAATGTGTTCTGGAAGGACACCAAGAACATCTGCATCATGGTTGCAATCCTGGTGAGTCCGGCCTAGGGGAGCCCACAAGGTTGAAGCAGACAATGTGGAGGTGACTTGTCCCTCCTGTTGCTCTCCTGGTAGCATAGGCCTGATGTACACCGGCTCTAATCGATCATCCCTTGGGCCCACAACCCTGTTGTGTGTGCGTCTGTGCTGTATCAGCTCACCCTGTTGTCTTCACCCTCTAGACCCATTTCCAGCATTACTACTGGGAATTTTCCTCCTTTTTTCCAGTTATCCCTGGCAGACCTGGCCATATATGGGGTCCTCAGGATATACAACGTGAGGAGCATTCGATGGTCGAGAATCGTGAGGCCCATCTTCCTCGTGAACTTTGCAGAGAGCCGCCAGGTAAGGAGGAGCTCTGGTGGGATGTACCTCTGGTCAGGGCCCTGTTCTGGGACAGTCGGCTGCTTTCTGAGATCCAGGGGATGTAGTAAAAGGGGGTTTGTGCAGGAATGGCAGAATAGAGGGTCCTGTGAGCCAAGGTTTCTCTCGGAGGTGGCCTGAAGCAATAATATGAGATGGATAAAAGGGTATGTTAGTGCTGGTGCTGCTTGGGTGCTGTGCAGAAGGCTTCTCCTTGTACCTGCGGGCTGGGTTATGGCTGTCCAGAGCCTCGAGTGTGCTTGGGCCTGGAACATTTCGTGTACAGTCAGCACAGGGCTGTGTTTAGTCCAGCCTGGGTGGAGGAGAAGAGTTAGAAGCTGTCCTCAGGAGTGTGCACATGAGCAGCACCACAGACAAGAGCTGCTTCTCCCTGGGTCAGGGGCCAGGTTACTTATTTGTGGGCGAACAGCACAGTGTCAGGCTGTTCTTGCACACTGGATGCCTGGTGCAGCAGGGGGATTTGGACTCTGATTCCTTCTGTCACAGGGACACTTGTTCCTCTTTGCCCCGCTGCCCAAGGCAGTTCTGCTCCTGAGTTACAAATGAATACACTAGTGTGGTGGGGAGGGTGCAGTGGGACTCTGGGTCTCATCAGTATGTGTTTTGTGGCCTGGAGTGATGGGCTTCTGTCCCTGACCATTCTCCTGCAGTGAGAGCTGAGTTTCTGATGGCTTGTCTCGAGAGGTGAGGTCTCTCATTCTAGTATCTCCTCTGGGGCGTAAGGAGGAAAGGCCTGGTGGTCTCACATAGATTTTAACAAAACAGAGCTGGCACATCTGCTATCCGTGTCCTACTTTGCCTGTCCCTATGTAGGGGCTTGATCCAGGTGGGGTGGTGAGGGGATAAGCAGGTACCACTTTGCCTCTAAACACTTCCCTTCTCCCTGTTAGATCCGGAGAGCCTTCCGCAGCATCCGCAACACGCTGCCAGAGATCACCTACGTCTTCCTGCTCTTCATGTTTAGCCTTCTCATGTTCTCCCTCATGGCCTTGAAGCTGTTTGGTGAGAGGTGAGAACCCTCCTTTTGCTCAGAGCTGGGTGGGAAGGACGTGTGTGATCCTTTCGGGCAGGAGGGAATCTGGCAACTCCAACTAGTTGAATACAATCATTGCCCATACATGCAATTCCTGTGCAGGACATGGGAGCTCTGTGCTTAACTTCAGCTTGTCCTTTTCCTC